ACCCACAACAATTATTACTAGCATATTATGGCTCTCTTGATACCGTACAATTTTCGTAATCTTCGTATCTCTAGGAATAACGGAAATATTCCAGATGGACAGAGTTACTCCTCCCCCCTGTATATAAATCTATTATAGACAGTGAATTTATACTTTATTTCTCTTTTTATAAATTATCGTATTACTAGATTAGACTTTTTATATAGTTGACGTCAAAATGGGATCTTATATTTACGCATATATTATTATTAACATATATAGTATTAACACATGAGTCAATATTGATAATATTAGTATCACCTAACCTGATTCAAAGCCTACGGATTGAACTAGGTAAAAATATTATTTGATATATAAATATAGAACCAGTCTCGAGATTTGTCTCAGCGCATACTCGCTAATTGTATTGTTGCGTATTGTTAGATATAAAAATAAGATACGCAACCAGATACTTTCGATTGCAACACAAGATGTTGCCGGTCCTCATTATCGAATTGATATTATTCATTTTTTACTTCGTTGCGCATCGCTATCGTATAGCAATTAATTAAAAATATCTCAGACGAAATATTGTGGATTTTTCCACAAATATGTATGACATATCTCAAGTAATAAGCCTTTATATTTAATAAGCCTTTTAGACTCGGAAAATACAGCATGATGCGCTTGAAGGAAAACCAGTAAGAAAACTCATTTTGATTAAATAATTCTTGATTTTACCAGATAAAATATTTTCCCTATGAAATAATTTAATTGCATAAGAAATATATATATGTACTGGTGTGTGTGATAATTGTATGTATTGATATGATAATCCATTCAGCTTATAGTTTCTCATATTGAGAGAGGGGATATAAGAGAAAATTTGAAGATTATGTGTGTGTTCAACAATAATTTTCCTTTATCCTTCTAGGGGGGTCCAATAGATATATTGATAAAATCCTTTATTTTATTTTGCATTATCTCGTACTATATTTTTAACTTTTTATTTAATATAACATATAAAATAATATTATAATTTATTAAAATTCATTATATATCTAATGTAACTAAATTCATATTGCTTTCTTTATTATACGCGTGCATCTGAAAAGGAAGAATCAATTCTAAATATTCTAATATTTATTAAGTAATATAGAATTATTGAGATGCCTAAAAAAAAAGATAAACATTGCTAATGCAGAACAATTTACTTTATACGAGACGAAAAATATTGCTGGAAATCGTTGACATCAATGTACGTATACCTGTCGTATACCTGCGTCTGCGCCTGCGCTTGCCTCCCATAGTAAACAGGCAACGTGAGTTAGACAGACCACAAACCGCGAGAACGGTCGCTGCGTCAGTCTGCGTCGAGTCCTCTTCGTAGGAGTTGCGTTCTCTTGGTGCGTCATCAGGGCAGCAATAGGGCCCCTTCGATGCACAGAAGAGCAACGACAAACGGTCTACAATAATCAAGGACTCAGTGAATTTGATTAGTGCGTGCCAACAGTTTCGGCATAGAACAGCTTGATATTACTACGGAGATTAAATCAGGTAAGAGAAAATACTTTCTTGATTTCAGCGATCTTGATGACGATAAACGCTGGAATGTGATAGTTGTCTCGATGTCAATACACATTATTTATATTTGGTCAATCCTGTTGCAAAACGTATAATTCTTTTGGTGATAATTATAAAAATAAATAATTATAATATATAATCTTATATCTTCTACTAAATGTATAATGTCATGTATGAATAGTTCATTAAAAATTTAATAACACGATCTTAAGAAAGTTAGGCGAAAAAAAAAATAAAAAAGAAAGGGAAAATGTTATTGTAATAAAAAGTATCGTTGAGAGAATATATCATAGTGCAATTATAGAGAACTATTCTACTTCCACTCTTAATACCATTTATTCTTTTTTTTACTTTTTTTCTTAAATTATGCTATCTTTACACCCGCGCATTAAAAAATGATATATATTATCACAAGACTTGTCAGAACAAAATATAATAGATTGTACATAAGTTTTATAATCTTTGTATGTTAAATGAACGCTAACGATAAAATTAAAATATATCATATTTTTTTGAAGAATGCAATATATTATGGAAAGCTTTTTAAATTTATATTATAGAAAGTAATTATTTATTTTAATTTATTTATTTATACTAGATATAAATTAATATTATTATACTATTATATAATTTTTTATGATAAAAATTTAGACATGTTTATTAACTGCATGAAATATATAGTATAATGTGTACCGTAATGTACAATATTGAGACCAACTTATAAATGAGTTCTTGTTTGTTTTATTGTATTTATTTTGGATTTAATCATATTTTTTGATTACCAAATAATAAATTTTTGGTTAGCACTGTAGAATATAAAAGAAGGTTTTTCTTTATTATCGGCGATATATTTCCATATGCTATGTGATTGCACGCTATAAATAATTTGGTATGCGTACGTTATCATACGTCTTTAATATTTGTCATATCTATTAACGTTACTCTAAATGTCACATTGTATGCCTCGTGATGTAAACGAACGTGAGATGTAATCTTATGACAAAGTATTTTTTTCATCTGTGTGATAAGTTTAAGAATAGAGATATTCAAGAGGAGATAAGAAACAAGCAGTAGAGAAAGAAATAATTGTTTATATTTAATTCTTTCATATATTCCTGATATATATTATAAAGTACGTATTTTTTAAGATATATTTAAATCCATATTTAAATTCAATTTTGGAATCATATACAACATTTTGAACATCTTGTTTCTCTCAGTATACATATCTTTTCTGATCTGTTTAATATGCTTAATTAAATACTATCATCTTTCCCTCTCTCTTTCCACTGAGTTTCATGTACATATATATTTCAGATTTGACGTAAAATCAAATATTACTCGCGCAAATATAAGGTGTCGACGTGTAAACAAAAATCAAGTCTAAACGGGTTTCTGCAAGAGTATGACATACAAGAATAAAACAAACAATGTTATCAAATTTTTTTTTAATTCTTTATGATATTTTGATCTTTTTGAAATTTGTATTAGCGTACATTTTTATGCGCACGCTGCATTCGGCTTTATTCATTTTATTCAATACATTGTGTGATAATATTTGATCATTATATTTGAAACAATAATCGTGCGCGAAGCGCTACGCCAATGCAACCAGCCACTTGCTGGTAATTGCAATAATATTATTTGCTGTCCTCTCTTTTGATTATCATGATCTATGACTGCCAAGACAAAAACTAAGGAAATAAAGTGTCAAAATCGCGCTTTGTCAGAGAACTTTGACCGCATCAACGTTTCTATTCACGGTCTATTCTCGAATTGAATATGTAATACTTTACAAAACCGAGCGCAATAAAAATCTATCTTGATTAATATTAATACTCAAACATTAGTACTCTCAAACAGTATCTTTACGCGACGATTTATTCATTACGATAATGAATTTAGATGTCACATTGATGGGGAATGTAATTGATAAAAATTAATAGAGCATGTACTTAAATTCGTTATCACAACCGAAATTTTTTTCTCAAACTATAATATAACTGTCAGACTAAAATTTAAAAAAAATGACAGTTTTATAGTCAATTCAGTTTTATAAGACGATATAAACAAGTAATATAAATATGAATCAAATTAAACAAAATTTATTAAGCCGCACATTTATGACATAACATTTTTTATATCTATAAGCTATATATTTGATGATTTTGATTGAAAAATAAATAATATTCACGGTTAACCGTTCTTCCTGATTTAAAATCACCAACCGGTTTATTCCAAAAATAGCAAGGCAACCGTATCGCATATACAAGTGAGACAGAGATATCAGATGTGTATAGCAAAAAACCTGTCTGACCCGTTGCATGCCGATTTCTGCTACTATCTACTATACACACACACACACACACACACACATACACACACACACACACACATACTCCTACTTAACATGTACTCTTACGACATATGTAAATACAGGTCTATATCTTAAATAAAAAAGATGATTAAGATTTGTCTGTGTTAGAAAGATTACAATTGATATAACTTACTTATAATTGATATTAAATATTATAATATTTTAAGACAGAGAATACGTGAGACGAAAGATATAATTTAATAAAATTAGATACCCAGCACAAAAAGATATTTAAAAAATGTCTAAAGGATGATAAGACATCTTTAAGTCGTCTTTTTCAACGTCTTTTAAGGATATGTGCTGCCTGAGCATTGATAGAAGACAAACATCCAGTTGCTAATATTCTAGTGACATATTATCATTTTTAAATGTAATTTTCATGTCTTCAGTAAAATGATAATGAGTTATGATGAGTTTGTTGTGTCATAACGTAATATTGCAATCAACGTAATATTTGAAATAGACTGCACAAACAATTTTCAAACTACGAATATACCTTAATAAAACTTTTTAAACAATTTTTAGAATCAGTTTTCCATTAACTTAATTTTTTGAGCTTTCTACATTAAATATTATAGCAATTATAAGTCTCAAATGAAAAAATATCTAAAGAACATTTCATTATCTACTTGTGCTCTTGTGTGGTAATTTTTTAAAAGTGCTTTCATCTTTTTAAGTTTTTTTTTTGTTACATTTATTATATAATGCAACGATATTCTTAGTTTTATTATCTAGTATGCATCATTAAAACATATTCCATTAGCCTTGGAATACTCTGCATATTCTCACTATAACTGTACATATATTATGCGGTTAAAAATCGATGTACTTGCAAGAAGCAAAAAATTGCTGATAGCGCTCATGATATGTATACAATATTTTTTGCGTTAGCAACAAAGTTAAAGCCGCAAGGATCAATGTTGCCTGATTATATAGTCGTTTCATTTACAAGATTCTTTGGTTAATACAAAAAATTTTCTTTAGCTAAAATTTATTATATTTCTTCTTTTTCTTTGTTATAATTCACAGTTTTTGTTCAGATTTTTTATTAAGTTTCTTGATATTTTGGATGAATCTGAAATCTTTTCTTAGCATAGTGCAACATTACCTGTGCTAGTGCAATCTGTTCTTAGCAGAAACAAGATATGGCATATCTACATCAGGACAAGCTGTGTTTAAGCAATATCCTGCACTTCATTGAGCGTAGTCTAGCCATTTGAGAAGGTTCGTAGCTTCGTAGTACAAGTCACGTCCTTGGTTGTCGCTTCGAGTATATATGTAAATTGAAATTAATTTCGCGATCGCGTCATTGCGTCGGTTTGTGCACGCATACGGAGTCTGAGTCTGACTGATGCTTGTATCTTCGTTGCACACATAATGCATTTAAACGCGCGTCATCGCGATGAGACAATTTTATGGCGTCTTCTCACGTGTTCAAAAACGAGCTCGTTACTGATCAGCGATGATAACGTTTCGAAAATAGGACTTTATCTTTACGATTTCAATGATATGCTCGAAAACAGATCGTATAATCATACGTCTCGGCTCGGAATTGAACGATCTGTCTCTCTATTATGTTCACGTCGCTTTATATACGGCGATCTGTAGCGCGATATGTTAGTCGCCAAGAAAATTTGCTAGTCGAAAGACAACGGCTGTGTTATTGGCATATTATTTCTCATAACCGACACTATGGACGAGTCCATCGGTAAACCAATTACAGTATGTTATATTAATTAAAATTAAATTACTTGCGTAATTTTTAAAACCAGAAGTTTTTGATGCGTGGCAAAAGAACGAACATTTTTAAAAGCGATATTTTGAATCACGTTATTAAGTAAACCTTTCGATTGACACAGATAAAAATTGAATTAATTTGCATGTAATAAGGCAGCTTTAAAATTGCGTTATTGCATTATCCGTATTTATTAAGTGCAATTTTAACGACATTAATATTAATGTTTTTGACGTTAATGTAGGTAAGTACAAGTGCATTAAAATAAAATTAGCCCGCAATAATTATATAGATGCGATATCTAATGCGGTAATGCGGTAATGAAATTATTTTTTAGAGCGCGTCGCTTCAGAAATTGGCTTCTGTATTTTATTTTTATAAATGACATATTGCTTCTAATAATCGAATAATATTTGTTGCTAAAATAACATATAAATATGACAAATATCGATCGTTCCATACTAATGTCGACACAGCTTATCTGCGTTATAATCGTTTGCATGTAGCCTACTTTGTAGATAATCGAAGAATATTTATAGCCTCTTAGCCGATGAATTATGTAAGAATGATAAGCACAGTTGATGAATTGAGTTCCTGAATAATTTATTAATTCGGCGATGAGAATTCAAATATAATTATATCTCGACAATTGTCATTTATCCACTTGGATACATTTTCGTGACATTATGCGCGAGTGTCGATACGTGACAGCAATTTTCAACACTAAAATAATTTTACTACAATTCTCGAATTGCTGAATATCGTGAGACCAGTACTCTCGTTTTTAAATAAAATTCTCATACATTTTAATTTATATTTAACTCTCAAAAAGAGAATTTAATTTTTTATTATACCAAGTAAAGTAAGTTTACTAAATTTTAAAGATGTAACGCGCGTTCGTGTGTGTGCGTCTATCGTCTTCTATATTTAACGGTCTCAATTGCCAATATCTTTATGTGTGTATTACATATAATGGAATAGTGTCGGAATAGTAATAAAACAGTAAATGTCCACAAGACGAAAATATATCGGAATATATCCGCATAGTAATTTTAGAAAGACATTATTTATTGCTCACCTAATTCTTGACGTTATACTTGTCACCCTTTCTGATATCCACAAAGATGAATGACTAACGGGGTTTTATACGAATAGCCTACTTTGGAAAGTGGCGTGTCTTTTATCAAGATGGTTGCAACAAACATTTTCTGCTTTCGTCAATATTGTGAGCGCAAACGCTGCTTAATAAAATTGCAATTTGCGTCAATAAAACTCAACGTGACACGGTTGACCCATCTTTCAAACGAGAAACTCGTGTATATCTTTCGTATAGAAATTATTTGCCGTTATTTCGCGAAATACATCAATCGCCGTTGAACTATCAATCATATAAATCTTCGATAATTTCTCTCTTTCATTTCTAACGGACATTTCAGGCTTCAGAGATCGGTTCGAATAGATTCGAGAGCTTGATACTCTCGACTACAAATGATAACAAATCTTGAATTTTATATAAATCATCGAATGAAAAGTATTACAAGAGATTTGTGTATTAAATCGTGAAATCGGACTGAATAACGTCGATCATTTCTACTTTGCTCTACCATTAGAATTTAAAATTTTATAATAAAAATTGACATTTCTCGGATAACTATATTTTAATAGCCATGTGACAATTATATTTTTTACTTGTAATTTTTTGATTGTAATTCTACATAGCATAACAATTGGAACGTATTTTCGATTAAATATTACCTATGCGCTATTAAATTTATAGGCTGCCACCAGCATACATTTGACAGCTGTACTAACATCATTCAATATTAAAAGATACCATCCAATTTATATTCATAAATGTCACTACTTTCGAATCAAGTGATGGATTGCCGCGTTCCTTTGTTTATTATGGGCTATTTTTAACAACGCCTAATCAATCGAGATTTTTTTGATATTGCATAAACATTTTTTTTTTTTTCATGTTTTTTCAATCTTAAAACATGTTTTGCTCTTTTAATAACATCTATTCTTTTTTTGCGAGAAATTTCTGCGAAATGTTGTGTGTAAAGGAATCTTTTCTGTATATAACAATTTCCATGTTTTACAGCTATGTCTTTGGAGGAATCTCGGAGATCGCAGCGCCCGTACCGATACGGTATGGTTCTCCTGTGCGTCGGAGCTCTCATAAACTGGTTGGGTTTGGCGGAGAACTATGTCGAACCGGTGCGTTACGTCGGTGTCGCCTGCATAGTTGCCGGGGCTCTCCTCATTTGCGCCGCGATGTGTTGTTGGCTGCACGCACCGCCAACTAGGACGAGCACGCACACGCAACATACGAATCATCCGATCACGGCACAGGTAACTTTCGTATTTATCTATCTATGAAGAGATAGCGAATTTATTCGTCCGCGCGAACGAAATTTGCGCTTGACTTGAATCGAATTTGAAGGAAACTTATGTCAGTAAAGAATTGTAGCTGTGACTCACACACATTCATAAACCTACCGCAAACTTAGGTTTTTTTTTTGCCAGTTTTTTCAGACTATTAATCTTTCTTTCTACAAGTCTACCGTCATTAGTCATCCTTCCTATGTGAAGTTTCATATTCAGTACGTGCTTAAATGATTATTATTAGTTTTTTATATTCTTCGATTTCTTAAAATAATTCTGATAATGAATAGAAAAAAATGCCTCGCATTATTTTGTAATTTACTTTAGTTATTCAGCTTATAAGAATTACAAAATGTAATAGCAAATTCCATTTCAGATATTTAAATTCCTTTTCAAGCTAAACCGCATTCTCGAATCACGTCAAATAAAATCTAGAGACAATCTTTAGACTAATTATATTAGTATTATTATCTAATTATAATAGTAAAAAAATATAATTAATTTTATTAGTATATATTAATATTTTTATTTTTATCATTATAACATTCGATTTGTAGAAAAGAAGATTAAAATATATGTAAAAATAAAAGTTTGTCTTCAGAAAACCCTTGGAAAAGATTTAAAAAATGTATAACTTTTTTTCATAGAAGCAAAATTTATTTTTACTCTTATTTATTAATAAGATATTTATCTCTCCCTTATATTATTAACATATATTTTCCGTAAATTTAAACAATATTTTCTTTTAATAAGATATCAACTTACCAACACATTCCATATACTTATATTTTATTATTTTTTTTTGCTAGATGTTTAAAAATTGCTAATTAGAGAAGTGACAACAAATATTGATTTTATAAAGCCTCTTTAGCGATTCGAAAAGATGCAGGTCGTCGGCGCGGTTGAAGGCCCCCGGGGATCGGTCTAAAACGTTTTTAGATCGATCCGGGTCAACTCCCTATTATAGACTACAAAAGAACGCGTATTATCTATAGATATAGCCTAGCCTAGCAGTATAAGTCGCTATTACTAGCGATGGTGGGCAGAATAAGGAGAAGCTTAATAATATACCTCGTCCGCGATGTGTGTACGTATATAGCTTATACTTTTTCTCTTCAAATAAAAAAAAAACCCGCGATACGAGAAGAAAGATAAAGAGAGTATATTTTCATATGTATCAGATAATATATCGTGGCATGTTCATAAATCGTCAACGTATGATAAACGCACCCTGCGTTCGTCGTGCGTTTCTTCGCTGGCAAAATGCGCCTAATGTTTGCGGGTATCATAAAAATTTCCAGGAGGCAGAAATCTCCTCATTGCAAGACTGTCACGTCATCTATAAAATGGTGCGAAGTCATGATTGCATCATACTACTATAATTTCCTCCTTTCGGTTTCGAGTGACGGAAATGTTACGCGCGAATGCCTCAACAGATTACTTTTCCTTTCCTCGAAACGAAAACATATTCTTCCCTTTGTAAGTTAGTATTATTGTTAGAATAATAAATATACTGTGTCGGTATCTGGATGATTCATGCTATTGCGCAATCAACCTATAATATCTTACCATACGATCGGCATTACTATCATTAAAAGTAATTTCAACATGTTACTAGTATGGAGATTTTCTACTGTCAGTCTATTGACGCGCAAATTTTACACACAGTCGTTAATATTTAACGTCCACAATATTGACAGATATTAATTAATGATCACATAACGGGTTTAAGGAAGATATTATTGTACATATTTTCAATCTTCTTGTCTGCTTTATGTGTGCAATGCCTCGGTTTCTCTTTTTCCACCTGCTTACCTTTCTAGTCCGTATGCTATTTTAAATCCATAAAGTATTTTTCTTCGTAGAAATTATCGGCAAATGTTCCCCACGTAAAATAAACGACCTGTCCATTTTCAAATGTCTATCTGTCCGTGCTTCATGTTTCGTTACATTATATAGAACGTCCTTAATTACTGGATGTGGTTTTAATAAGATTCTTTGATTATAATCTGAAGTCGATATTTCCTTAGAAAAAAATTGAAGGTTATTTTGATTACTATTTTTCAATTTTTTACATTATATATATTGTAACAGAAAATCTTAAGCTAAAATTCCGTCAAAGTAAATTCCACCTGAAGAAGTAAAAAATGCAGTTTTATTATCCATTTGACTGCGCGAAGTTTAGTTTACCAAAATTCTTTTTTCAACAATTTGAAAATTATTGATGCCGGTATTTTTGTCAAGAAAAACTCGACTCTAAATTGATCAAAGAATCTTTATTCAAAAAACATTTCGAGATACTTTATTTATGTAAAATAAAAGATCCGTTAGGGCGTGTGAAAAAGGGCGTGGCAGTCTCTAATGCCGATTACTGTTGTAAGGATATTTATCCGGAAACATATACCAAGCTATTTTTATCATCATTTATCCTTGGATATACCTGTCCTACTCTCTTAAAAAACAATAGTTTTTAAATCGGCAGCGTGAAATAAGTTTGATTCGAGGCAAGATAACAAGCTTTTGAATCTAGAAAAGTGTTACCTGTCGGCTTCATATTATTAATTATAGTTAATTAAATTCCATACACACGTTTATTTCTCGCTTGTAAAGAAACGCATGGCACATTTTATTATGTATGTGTGTTAAACAAAGACATCGTGTATTACATCTTACTATTATGTTCACTACACACTATGTTATCATGCAATACTATCTATTTTTACAAAAGTAGGACTTCTCAAATTAACAAACGCAACCGTTGTTCTTAGACATCCAATTAAGTCAATTAATTTATTTATTTTCTCGTTGAAATACGATAACCTTTAAGATAGCGATTTATCATGAGACCACTTCTGGAGAAGGAAGTCGATGTATATGATAATTGGGAAATTTTTCGAATAAATTCGAAGCAATAAAGATTTGAAATGTTATCTATGACAGATATGATAATGTAGTTTCAGCGTATTTTTAAATCTTTTTAATGGTCACGTATATCTGAGGAATTTTTTACATGAATTCAGCAGTTGTCCATTCAAGATTTATTATTATTTAATATAATTTAATTGCAGATCAGTTAATTATTATCTGACAAATATTGTGTTGAATATGATGCGATGATCTCAATTATATTTGGTATCATATTATTCTCGCGATCCAATTATCCTGACGTAAACGATATACGAAGCGATATTTGGTACCAACGAAGAAGGTTACTTTCATGTTATTTGATTATACAGTACAAACAGAGTGCGATTGGTGTCGATTCTCCGAATCTTCGAGGTCACGCTCGCGTTTACTAGTCAGCGATAATTGAGGAGAGCACGCTTTACCAGGAAAGACTTTCGTGCAGCCGAGACCTCTCGGAGTCACAGTCGTTCACCTCGCGTTCCCACTTAGGCTCATTATGCAATTTTCCAGCGAAGCTTTCTTTATCGCCGCAAATAGCCACGTTTATTTTTGTCCATCGCGCGCGTTCGTGCGTCACCCTATATGTATCTCGCACGCGCCCTTTCGCGACTTACATTCAAGCCAGCCACAATGTTTTCGAAGAATAGTGAGAGAGCTGGGAATATGTAGATAGATATCTATAGACGACCTACGACGAATATAGCGCGATGTGCACTTCCGGGTGAATATCCTTATAACGTGGCACGTAGAATATCGCGGGAACTGTGCGGGGCCGGCACGTCGATCCGGATACTTTAAATAGACTCTCCGGCGATGATATATTTCCACAATGATTAACTGTGCGGTTCTTTTTTTATAAACACATGTTTTGAATCGTGACGTGAGTTAAATTGAATTTATAAGACTGTAGAATTCCCAAGATTGTTAACTTACGTAATTGCGTGAGAAGTCTCGAAGTTAAATACTCTTTTCCTGAATCTTCCTGATGCATCACAAATTCTAAAAATACAATGGCAGACTTACAGTAACTTTTGCATTTTAGTTACGAAACTCTATAAAATTTCCAAGGTTAAGTTGCAAAATATAAGTCATAAGACAACAAAAGATTCTAATTAAAGGACACAATCATTAATTCTTAAAGCAATCTCTCAAAAATTTTTGAAGCCAGTTAGTGAAACGTAATCTCTTAAATTAAGTAGCAAGCGATCAAAGTTAAATAATGTCAAAAAATTCTTGAAGTTGACTAATACACTTTCATGACAATCTACGAGGATAAGCACATACCATTAATATTTCAAAATCAATTCAATCGATTATCTCTCTCTTAAAGATCGATGATCCAATCCACGTGATTTCCATCGAGGAACCTTCGGTCTTGTCGAGACAGAAGCCGCCCGATTACGAGGCGGTGACGGATGCACCACCGAGCTACGACGATGCCATCAAGCTAAATCCTAGTCAATTAGTCAGGTTGAGCAATGGTAGCACGCCGCCATTATCCTCAGGACAAATTATCCCGACGACCATCAGTATCGTTTCTCCTACGCTAACACCACCACCGCCGTACGCCAGGTAAGACCACTCGTAAATTCCTGAATGCTGCATCAACATCTTGGGACATGAATAATCAATGTCACCTTGTAGCAAAAAAAAAAACAGCTATCCGGTATCTATACGTAAAACATATTTTTTTTTTCTCCAAATCATATAGAATTAAATTGTTTCTCCTTGTTTTAAGATATTGATGCATTAATTTTTATTTTATGGCTATTATTTTTCTAGATTAGACTCGGTTTTATTAATTATGTTAAAAAAATAATATTATTTATCAAATACTCTTGTGGCACGTTTTTTCTTCTGTAAATTATTAAAAAAGTCAGGCTTTTCGAATCGATCTTTCTCTGTTCCAGGTGAGATCGTAACGCTAGGAATAGAGAGACCAATAAATACGAAGGTTTACGACGTGAGAACCGACGTCAATTACGAAGAACGGTCAAGAGTTGCAGATTGCAAACAATATGACCGTACGATAATTTCGTTGTTTGCTTTCGTCGTTGCGAAATGCGTGATACGTAACTGTAAAGCATATACGTAGCTGTGCAGAATACGATCTTGCCAGAGAAGAAGGGGGGATTCGAGCCATCCGAAAATCGTTTGACATTTCCACAAACAAGAATCGAATGAGGATCTCTTTTTTGACATCTCACAAATTCCGATTGTTTAGATAATTAATTATTGGACAATTGTGGAACGTTGCTGGTACCAACGTCATTCAGGACGATTAATTCTTCCTTTACAACTACGTTATAGCTCTCCTGTTATGATTTAGAAAGAAACTGGGAATCATTAAACAGATTTCATTGATCATGACGATATCTGAGTTAACTCGATGCGGTCTAAAGAATTGCGATCATCATTACTTTTTCATTTGTTGATCTCTCATAAAGTAATACGCGTGTGAGAAAGCGAAAACAGGTGATATGGTACACGATAACGTACTGGCACACAATGCACAATTGCAAAGATAGAGATATGTATATACCTTACTTTTTCATTTTTAATATAATTCGATGACAGTCTCGACGAGAATATTCCTCGATTATATCATAACGTCCGCGTGCTTTCTATCAATTATATGCTTGCTTGGCCGTCTTGTAACAGCGATAATAAAGTAACAACTTTTAGCACTCGAACGTTACGTTCAGCTCGCGGTCCGCTGTTCATTTAATTTAATGATTCGAATCGCAACTTAATTGATACCGTGCTAATCTACAGAAATGACAGACCCTTAAGATTAATTGACGGAGCAACTATGCAATTTATACTATATACACATTTAATTTATGATGATTGTTATTGAAAAATAATATAAATAGAGAGAATTGAAGAAATACCGCTAAAATACATATAAACCGCATCCATTTATGCCTACAATGTTAAAGTTTGTTATATTCGAATTTAATTCATGTCATTTTTAGAACAAATAGCTTAATTATCGAATCTATTTTTATATAAGATGAATGGAAAAGCTCCGATGAATTTTTACATTCTCGAGAAGGTCTGTTATAAATGCGACGAGTATTCAAAGACAATCGCATCTTACAATGGTCCAAAGAGGAATCATAATAATAGAGCATTTAGCGCGTTGCGAGCTCAACTGCGTATAATTTACTGAAGAATGTTCTTCTGCCATATCGTCTCAGTATCTGTTTCTTTAACTACGCACACGCGCGCACAGTACACTTATGCGAAAGCCATTCGCACGTCCATTTTTATTGTGATATATTATACATATATACGTATTGATAATATGAAGCAACACTATCGAATATAATGGCGATGCTTGTATTATAAAATAAGACTTTTTTATAACAAAAATGCAAATAAATAATATGAGATTTTTCTATGTGAATCTTTTCTATTTTACACATCCTTCTTTCACGATTGTTTTCTGCTAAACCTCAAATCGTACAGGGAAAACCACTAGTTATTTATTATTTTATATATTTTAATAATGAAAATGCAAAGTATGTGTATTATATTTATAAAGTCTATTGATAAAGCCATTGCACTTTTATTAAATTAACTTTCATTTGTATATCGCGTAGCATTTTCTCTATTTTATCAAATAAGTATTAGTGATGAGTATTAGGAGCATATTTCTCGTTTATATGCAAGGTATGGGAGAAATGATCAATATTCATCGATAAATACCCTTTATTCAATCGGAGTAACATTTATACTTACTTAAAGCATGTTATTGAACTTATATACCTGTAGATTTTCATTAACGGCAACAATTATAATTAAAATAGTGACAGAAACGTAACAGGAGTAGTGACAATAAGATGATAGCAATCATAATAATAATAAAACAATAATACTAATATAATAACAGAAATAATAATAATAACATTAATAATGATCGACTAGATGATAATGATGAATATTGATGAATATAGTATATTACTCATATTACAATGAAACAGGAGGTAAATCAAAATGTAGTGAATGTCGATTGTTAATTATCTGTTTTTTTTCTCATTCTCTTCCCCTCCTTTCTATTAGCCAATTATGCTAACTCGAAATAAAGAAAATTGCTTGACGATAGTAATGACGATGGTAATTATAACCACAATGATATATAATGACAAGAATAATTATAACGTCAAGATTATTCGTAATTGTCGATCGACTATCGCTATCTTTAATTTGTTATTACTCTCACTACACGGTGGTTTGGTTAAAGTATATTTACTCCTTCTGCACGCTTCGCCCATCTCATCAGCCTCTCAGACAAACAATTAATTCTCTCATAACTGCTTCCCTTTGTTTATATACATCATCTATAGTTGTAGCGAACATAACATAACTTTAACGTAATATAGTTTTATGCCAGCAATCATTGATTATCCGATCGACATGTCTGCTATTTTATGATGATCAGTTTAGTGAGAAAAAATAAGAATGTAAGAAATAAATATTAAAAATATCTGAGATATGTTACGATATATTGATAGAGAGCATTTTTTATCCGCAGCACAACTGATATTGATTATTAATAAATACATATGATAAAGTATTTAATAATTTGCAAACACCATTAACAGATAGTTTTTTATATTTATATTTCTTTCAATAAATCCCCATAATCATGTTCTTCGTTTTCATGCATTGTACTGTTAATGGTATTAAAATTTCTCTGCATTTATGTCGATCGATTTACACCTAGGTGTAAAAAGTCAACCAGCGACAAAACGAAGATATTTCTGGCTTATACATCATAATAATAACAATAATAATAATATAAAATTATTTTAATGCAGTATCAACGAGAAGCGGTGATTCATGTGACTCAGAACGAAGAATTTTCGATATATTTACAAATTCTCGTAATCTCCCCGCATTTCTCGTTTAAGTAGCAAAACAAACATCTAATAAATAGGAACAAAAATAGATCAACGAAACAATAACAACTGCGCCGATACAAGTGTACACGACGTAAGTAATTAACCGCGAATGTACAGGAGAGAATGCGACGCAACCGGAAATTATTGCACGTACGAACGAATATCCCTCCGACCGAATTGATCGCACTGTATACTGAAGGAACGCAACGCTCGATCCTTCTTTGCCTCCTTGGCAAAACGATCGAGGCTCGATCGTCCACCTCGGACAGTCATAAATTCGACAGTATAGGGTTGACAGCTGTTGATGAAGAAATCACGCATGACCTCGCAAACATCTCCTTCTCTCTGTTTTTCCCGTCGTCCCTCTGAAATCGCAGCTCATTATCGCCAGCGATTCTTGTTCTTATAGTAATTGTATATCTCTGTGACTATGTACAGTCTATATGGACAACGCGTCGCACATTTCTCTCGTAGACTCGTTAATATTATATAAATACGTTTGGTATACACTCGTGACTATACTTTATTAACAGTAGTAAGAGTAGTGGTAGCGATAATGACGATTGGATTAGTCGCTAAAAACGATCCGGCTGGTTGTAACAGTTACAATAGTAGTAATAATAGTAGTAGTAGTAATGATAATAATAATAATAATAGTGACTAGCTGGTAAATAGTTAGCCGATAAATTGATTTATAAGTAATCTTCAGGGTTCAGCAAAAGCGTCATTGGTGGACCGTGCCGGTCCTCGTAAATCGCGCGCTGATCGCTTAGACGGTAATAACACAGTTACACAGCGATAAGTGTGCGGCAAGAGTCCGATATACATCTAAATTAATCATTATTTTTTTACATGACTTAGAGCAGTATAACCATCAACCTGTCGAATAATATATAAATGCATTTTTCCCGTCGTGTGTATGTACATATGCGTGACGGTAGTGGCCGCCGTGTGATACTTGACGCAGATTCATTATGTACAAAAGATATCGCGCTTTCTTATATGAGCAACGTCGCCCCCGTAATAATAGTCCGTTTAAGCTTAGCTCGGATGAATGCTCGTGGAGCCGTTATCCGGTTTAGATGCCGTTATCGTAGCGTTTATTAACAGCCCTATACGATGTGCGCCGGTCGGTGTGCTCGACCGGCCACGACGACTTTCACCTACGTCGCACGTAATCGCGGGAACGACCGGTTGACGTCGCGTGACGTTGCAGTCCGAAATTCACGCGGACGATGTATGTATGACGCACGCTGGCGGATTCTCCGCCAGCATCCGGATAAGAATCGAAGAATATCGCGCGTCACCAAATCGGGTTTCTCCCAAATCGTAGGCCGATCCGCGGAGCTCAGTCACGATCGACGCAGTTTTTCCTTCGCGTGGGAAGAGAGAGAGGGCTCCTGGGCATCGTTCATTCGCATCCGGTGTGAACGAGGGGAAGGAATGACTGCGATACCCGCGTCACGAAGAGTACCGTCGTCGAATCCGGTTTCTTCACGCGAGTTCCGAGCGACGCTCAATACTTGATCGTCGATCTTTAAGGATGGTCTCAGATGGGTGTCGGCAGAACCGTGAAGTCCTGCAATGCGGTCTTCACCGTTTCGTAAATCGGCCGGTTGCTCTCGTCGGTGCAGTAGCCGTCGGCGGTGCACAGAGTCTGTAGCTTCGTCAGGTAACTGTCGAAGTTCTCGTGGCCTATCTTTTCTTGCGGCCCGCCCGGGGCGTTCGGTATTCGCACTTGCTCGAGCAGGGTGATCATGTTGTCGCGCAGCGACTGATAATATTCGGTCAGATTATTGTTGCGTTGGTTTATCGATGACGTATCCTGCAAAACAATGCATTTATCAATGCCAGAGCGCATGCATGATAGCATCTGCGGAAAAGTTATTTCCACAGAGACCGTACTTACTGACGAAACCGATAAATAATGATAACAGAGACAATTTTTCTGATTAAAAATGCAGTAAAAATATTTGCATTTAGAAAACTTACAATAAATTCTTTAGTTAAGAATAAAATTTTTTCATCAATGTGCGTCTTAAACACGTGAAATTGATTGATTGACCGCTAATTATTTCAGGTACGTGATATCAACATATGGTTAATAAAACATAAATTATTGTAACATGTCATTTTTTATAATAGACAAAATAAAGCTGACCTCTGAAAAAAAAGCATTTAATTAACAATATAATGCATAATTATATTGTTATAATATTTCGTAATAAGTAATAATTGCGTAATAAGTGTGTATAATTTAACTTAAAAAAAAAGATATGATGCCATAATCGCGATGATTACAATTAATTCACAAATATCAATCAAATAGTATAAAAATATCTAAACAATATCTATTTTTCGCGTTTAATTATTTGTCATGTATTTATTTGTCGACACATGGTATACTGCCGACTGAGCAAAGACTGACCTTATCACCGTGTTTGAGCTGATTCTCCATGGCGGTGATATCCGAGCGCAAGCGCAGGACTTGCGATTCGACCCGGGCGTTCTCTCTCTGGAGCTCCGTGATCTCAGCCTCCAGTGTGTAGAGATCCTCGCCCCCGGCACCGGCGGTCCCGCTACCGCTCGAGTTACCCTGACCCGTGCCTACCGCACCCCCGTGAGCCGGACCACCGGCTTCCAACCCTGAGGACAGGACAGACACGGTCCAGTTTGATAAGGTGCCTGTCACGTTACGTTCGAAAACGAATCGTATTTCCCGGTTTCCAGAAAGTTGTTTTCCCACGGTTAAGCGTGCGATTCGTGCGCTCTTTGGTCTCGCGGTCGCAATGAGATGCACACGTAACACCTTTGCCGGGCTCAACATTGAGAAAACTACTGGAAACCGGTACGATTCGAATCCCCCAGTTCGAGACGAAAGCTCGTAACTCTACGTATTTAAACAGAAGCATTTTGACGTTTCGTATCTCTTTTTTTTTTGTTTCAAACAATTACGATCAAGAAGCATCAAATCGAAAGAATTCGAATAGATTTGCGGGATTTTGACGCGATACATGTGGAGATGTAGCGAGCATTTACATTATGTCAAGGATCAATTGAGGCAGTGACTTGGGCTATGCGATTTGTGAAACATTGCCATCTTATATCGAAATAAAGTGCCCCAAATCCGCTATTCATGTTTCCCCCCTTCACTTCGCTCGGCCCAAGTCACTGCAATGTAGCTTGTCTTGAGATAATGGGACGGTACGGTTTCTTCTGCGTACGGTTCGTGCCAAAGTGATATACGCATCTCGGCAGAAAAGCGAGAGACATTTTGAGGCTCGTTCGATCAAGCGTGTGCTCCGACTCAGTAAGAGACGCACGAACCTGACAGGAGTGCCGTGGGATGATTGGGACGATGTCGGGGTGTTTTGGGAATTAGCGTGAGGTGCCATCATACCAGATAGAAGAAAAAAAAAATATAGAAGACACCGAGTGCTGGCGTTGATACGCGACATTTAATTGTGGATGGAACGAGATAGAAGCTTATGATTATTTATTGTGCCAAAGAGGTATATACGTTTTTACATATGTTGCCAACACTCGGACGTCGTCTCGTAAAAGTAAACATACTGGTGTGTGGATTCTGTATGTAACACCGAAAACACATAGGAAACAAGTGGCGAATACGTCAGTCCCTTACCTTCAAAAGTAACCGTGCTCCAAGCTCAACATGAAAGGAGCTAATCCCAGAATAAATCAGAATATATTATTTTTCATCATTAAGACATAGGTTGTTCTTGATTTTACATGTCTTGTACATAACGAAGGAAGAGGTTCCTGCGCGGGACCGAATCGAGAAAGGAAGGAAAAAAAAAAGAGACGTAAATTAACGCCGTTGTATTCGATTCTAGTGCTTCCTGTCTCCTTCTTTTCTTATCTCTTTTTCTAAGTTATTTATGACATTCTTTTATATCGTTTTATATCTAATTAATCGCGATATTTATTCGAAAACTAGAAACATTTATTACTGAGAAAAAGAAAGAGGTCGAAACGGGAAAGTAATATTTAAAGAGAAAAAAATAAAAAGGAACAATTTTTTTTTCTTTTGGTCAAGAAAAACGGAAGGACGAGGAAAAAGGACCCTCATTGGTATGACAGCACATCATTGCGTGAAGAGCAGAGTACGGCATAGCACGGGATCAAGTACAAGGTTAGATATGCACAAGTTTACAAAGAAAGGTACATAATTCCGTATGTTTTAGCATCGCGCTCGTCCAGACCCTAGTCAATCTACGGTGATGATGGCATGTTCTTTACACAAACTTTGAAATAAAAATGAGAGCTGTCGAGACGATTAATCCCGAATGAGCGCGATGCGCAAGCATATAAAAGAACAGAGAGCGAATTTAAACTGTCTTATCTACTCTATAACATTTTCTCTTTCTATCGCGCGTTGATAAGAAAATGCGCATCGTCGCGGTTTCAAATTTTGGCAGCTGCGCGCGAGGAGAGAGAGCTTACGAACGCTCTTTGATTAAAGATCGATCAAATTTCTCGTAATACGATTGGTCTCACGCACAGCATATTCTGACAATTTTATTCTTCGATCGTTAAGTATCGACAGCCGGTGGCGTCGTCATCAGAGGCAACTCGATCCTCACCGGTGATTCCTCTGCTGTACATGCTCATATTATCCTCCGGTTTTGGTTTCTTCACGGCGTGGCTGGCTATCGGGCAGCCCGACAAGGACCTATGGCTATGAAAAGATCCGTTTATGTGACCGAGTCCGTCACATCCGGGTGTTGGGCAATTGACACCCTCAAACTTCATGGCCGTTGCGGCAGCCACGGCCGCCTTGTGCTGTTCAACCGTACCGCCGGATTCCAGTACTCGCATCTTATTCCTATTTGCGATTGGGCATCCAGATGCACTGCAATAAGGAAATGAGAATATATAATGATTACATGGAATATATGTAAATAAACGTTACAGATATTGTTAAATTCAATTGTGTATTATCAAGATTGAATTCTTATGTAACAAATGCGGATGATGGGCCATCGTTCATATGAGATACGCATATAATTTTATCTATTATTTAATTTATTACCGGATACTAGCACACTTAAAATTCTAATACATAATCTAGTAATTTATATAAAAAATAATATTAACAAAAGTATCTAATTATCGTAACTGGACAAGTTTAATTATCAAGAAGACAGCGTGTGATTATCCTATGGCAAGATTCACGCTAACGTGAAACGTTCCTGCGAGCCTTACCTGCGGTGCGACAAGAATTTGCCGGTGGCATGGCCGGACCCGTCGCAACCCGGGATTGGACATCTGTAGTCCAAAATGCCAACACCACCAATGTCACCAACACCACATAATCCATCCGCACAGAGCGAGCGTGAAACGAGCGGAAACCGCCAGTTATTAGTCAGCGTCTTCGCTTTAGCGCGAAGTGTGGGGGGAAGGAGTTAGGATGCGGTTACAAGGGAACGGGATTTCCCCTTTCTCGGTCTAGCGCGACAGCCTCCCGGTACGTGCAATGCGGTCGAGAAGATACCTGCGTTAGTTGCTACGTGCAACGTGCGAACGCGACGAAAACGCAAATTGAGATCGCGATTACTACCGCACCCTCAAATTGCAGAACTTGCGAGATGTAATCGCATCGTGAAACCAAATCCGAGCTCGCGATAGCCCTAGCTCTTTTCGAACCTCAACCCCTCGCATCATATCAATTTATATTTGTCATATAAATACGCGCTTTTCGATGTTACATGAATAGTTAAGAAAGAAAACTCTCGTGGTAACCGAAATAAATTTTCAATAATTAAAAACAAACTGATAAAAAACTTTAATTTTGATTCGTCAAATAAGATAAATATATCTCAAGATATTAATTTTGTAAAGTATAATTGAAAAGATATTGGTAATAGACATATTATTTTTAGTTATTCAATTAGTAATGATCTCTAAAAACCAATGCGATTGGTGGAGGATATTCTGTATGAATAAGGATATCCCGTAATAAATAAAAAATGGAAAACATGGTTAATTTATGTTAATTGTCCGGAATAAAAGGTATAATAAAGAGTGTATAATTAAAAATATTTGCGCCAACTGACCTCAAAGGTTCAGAATCTTGGCCGTCTCGAGGCTTACTCTTCGGCTTGTTGGCTCGTGGACAGCCGGATAAACTTCTGTGTGACGAGTAATTTCCTGTGACGTGTCCAGAACCGTCGCATCCCGGCGTAGGACACTTGAGCTCCTGGGAATGCGCCTGGATTTGCGAGCGATCGGCTCGTGGACATCCGGAAAGGCTGCAAAGGAAAGAAGAGTCTCTTCTATTTTAACGCGTTGCAAAAACACCATGAAGACCGCGCGCTGCATGTTCTGAGAATTCGCAAAATGTTACCATTTCAAAAATTCGATTACTACTATAATTATATAATGCGTCGTTATATCTGTTGTAAGATTTGGCAACGCGCTAATCCTCATGGCTTTGGTCACGAACGCACACCTCAGAAACGTCCAACCATCGTTTCAGCAACACATCGCATGCAATTTACGCGACGTTGCCACGATGAGTACTCACTTGATGATGATCTAAGCTGTTTAACTTAAAAGACGATCAAATACGTCTCGGCAATTAGATCTCGATGAGTAACGAACATCTCGTTCGCTGAAGCGATCGAAATCGTCTATGTATCATACAAGTGATACAATACACCACCGGATTAATATATTGCTATTAATAATTAATTGTCACTATAATTTATAATATGTATGTATATATGTATATATATATATATTAATATGTATAATCATTGAAGTGGCAAGAGAAAGACGTTGGCTCACCGAGATCAGCGCAGCGAATCAGCACTGGTTACAATACGATTTAGTTTCGGACGACTTGCCTTGCGTCCAGTTCGAACGAAGACATTCAGGGAAAGGGAGACTTAAGACTCGTATCTTGTTCGATTACTGGTCTCGATCGTCCACGCCAACGATCGAAGCTCCGAGTCTTACACTCTCTAAGGACGCCCTCGAATGTCGCGCGGATTGTGATCGATGATAAGGGGGGGGGGGCGGATCGTGTTGGTAGCATGCAAATGGCAACGCCGTGTTCCAGTTGGATCACTCATGAGGTGTCGCTCGTAAGATCAATCGCGCTTCGGACTCGCACTGATCCAAGATCGGTCTTACTCTAAGAACATCGAAAGGGAGAGCGGGGAGCACACTCACACCTGACCCCAATGAAACTCGCCAATTGCCAATTGACTTTGCACGAAATGTGTCACACGAAAGCGATATCACATCGCTTCGTGGTACCTTCGATCGTTACGGTTCTGCTATGACATGGTCATCGGCAACAGTTCGCTACGAAGCTGCCCACACGAGGCTGGCGAAAGCGGCTTTTCAACGGACGGATAGTCGGTTTGATTAATCACTACGTATGCGCACGAAAGCAAATGAGTCTCGCGATCGAAAGCGGGTCAATTTTTTACAATGCCGTTTTCTTCGCAATACCGGGTATTTGATTTTGCCATCCCTTTTCGTAGGGGTCGGGTAAAAACAGCGAGGAGAAAAAGAAAGAAAGTTCATTCAATTACGAGGCTCATCTACACACTTTTGGTATCGCATAACGTAACGTAGATACGTAGGAATATAAAACGAGGAGGAAAGAGAAAGAGAGGTGAATTGTGTAATGGAAAAATAAAGACTATATATCGTATATATTTATGCAAGATAGAGCTATAGTACCACTGGAGATATTCACACGTACGTTAAATATAGATATATGTAGCAACATAATATCGAACAAGTGTACAATTCAACCGTTCAACTAGAAGAAGATAGAATTTCTAGACGTATGTTTCGTATCGCAATACACTTAAGAAGCAACTACGCCACGGACCATCAATATGCATCGATGCAAGAACCATCCATGTAAATGTAATTCGCAAATTTACTTGATGTCGTTTGTATATTTGCGTATACATGTATATATGTATGTATATGTGTGTTTGTTTCAGGACATCTACTGCTTTAAAATTAAGATATTTATTAAGACGTTGTTGGTGAATCAAAGAAAACCAACAAAATTCAGGTATCGTAAATTTTTTACTATCTGTATGTATGTATGTGTAGATGCGTGTGCGTGTCTGTATGTAGCGTGCGTGCGTGCGTGCTGCATCGCCATATCGATATATACATAATCGAGCGTTCACGTCAAAGTCTTGGTGTAAATGTCGATGTTGCCTTGCCTTCTGTGGGTAGCGTAGTTCCCTGAAACATGACCCATGCCATCACAGGACGACGTGGGACACTGTATCAGCTCCTTGCCATCGCGACCACGAGGGGTGGGACGAGGTGCGAAATTCAACGAGTACCTCCTCACATTCATACTGCATCGAATAATATTAATTGTCAAATCGAGATTCCCTAAGTGCTGATTATATTGAATCATCGATAATTCTCTAATTGTTGCTGCCCGAGCGCGAGAGCCAACGGTGATTATATATATTTCTCTCTGTCTCATTATCTATCTCTTTCTTTTATTAATGCTACTAATTTAGTATATAGCGATTAAAAATATATAACTTCCACTTTTACAAAGCGCTCGAGCAGATTATCTAACATAATTCTACATTCGAATATTCCAGCGATAATCATAAATCGCTTTCTTACACAAACACAAATATGAATTGTATACAATGTCCATAGTTAAAAAAAAGGAGCAAAAGAGAAGGCGAAAGAGGAAGCGGAGGAGCAAATCGAAGGAACATCACCCGGTCTGAGTCGAAGGGTGAGCGTCTCGTTCTTGTTTCCGGTTTCATCGTAGTCTCGTAGATGAGACCGGAGGCAAACCGCCCCGAGGCTATGAGAAAGCCTCGGAAACCTCGATGGCCCTCGAGTGGCCGCGATATTGCCGGGCAACTGAGAGCCGACGGATACGGACTTGAGTGCAATTCCCTGGTATGCTGTCGGAATATCTATCCATTTTCGCGTTTTTGCAGCCTCCGCTTGCTCCGTCTTGAACGTTGAACCCAATTGTGTGGATGCGATTAAACTTCTTATTCGTGGTAATTTTACAGTAAATATATAATACATGTGAGTAGGGGAACATTTTATAAATTGCTCTTTAAAATATTTTTATACATTTAATCTTTTTTGTAAATATTTTTCTATGTTTTAATATATATATTTATTCTTCACAAAAAATGTAATTTATATAACTAGCTTTTTTATGATTTTAAACGGTGCGTAATATCTGATACGCCAATCAATATAGAAAAAAATATGATATAAATAATGATTATAATAGAAGTAATCTTTTTCTAGAGATTTAGGCGCTCTTATTTTGATAAACAAAGCTTTGAAAATTTTTAAAGTTAAATGCAAGTTCTTTTTAACAAGATTTTATCTCGAGTAAAATGAAAATTTCTTTATCTTCTCATGATCTAGTTCGTGTAATTTAATGTTTTCATATATTTAAGCTATCGACTCGAATCAGAGTATACTAATAAATGTTTCCAAGAGAAAACCGGTAATATAGTTAAGACGAGAAGAGCCGTAGTTATATTGCCCGCCACCATTAATAAAGTTGAAGTTCGGATATAGATTGGTTTTACCGAGGTTGCAGCTGGCGGTAACGTGTTCCACGTTATATACTTTCAATAAAGATGCAACCAACGATTGGAGGACAGACGTGGAAAGATTAATATCGTGAAATGATTGGATATATTTTTTATTTCATAAACCCCCAAATTGTGCGTAACAGGAAAAATACGAGTATATTCCATTGGATGTGCTCGCTATTACTATTAAGAAACGGATATTATAAAAAGTTCTAGCAATATCATCAAAATAGAATAAAATTGTATAAGTATCTTTACACAAGAGTAAAATTATTACTATAATAAATCATCCAATTTATAAGACAACAATTAAATTATTTTAATGTATCTTTTTGTATTTATATCCAAAATATTTTATTATATTGTAACCAAAAGAGAGTTCATAGATTGATTTCTTTTTTTCTTATCAAATTATTTAAAAATTTCTTTACGTTATAACGAGATAAATCCGACAAAAAGTAACGTTTTTCCTTTTTACAGTATTATATGTATATAATGGAACATTTACGATATAGTATAAATAATAGTATATTATTAATAGTAAATGTTTTTTAACTACTGATGGAATAAAGATTCGTAATTTTCGCACTTTTGTCCATCGGGGTGACATTCGTGATATCCACGGAACGCGACGCATCGAATTTTGGACCGCGGTAAAGTTACAAAAGGGACGAGAGCAACTTTGCCTCGAGGTAGCCGAGGAAGTGTGTTCCAGGGGTTCTAACCCACGTCGGGAGACGACGCGGGGTCTCGGCCCATAATCCAGTGCGGTGGCAACTGATTATACCCCACCTCTCATTTTAACCTTATCCTGCCTCGGATCCGCACTCTCTCAACCCCTTTCCCATCCAACTCCCGCGTGCGCGCGCGCGCTCGCGTTTTCCACTCGAGCCTCATCCTCATTCTCTTCTTATACGCCCAACCGCGCTTTCTCCATACCGCGCCGAGCTTCACGTCAATTAGAATAAGGTTGGCACTTTTGGTACGAAGAGTAATTACTTTAATTAACAAAATGGAGGTGGGTATGCGCGAGAGTTTTGCCCCCTTTTCCTCTCGCCCTCCGTCGCTGATGTTAGCCGCCGCCGCCGCCGCCTCCACGCCTTTTCGAAGTTTCGGCCACGAATCTATCGCGTGAAGGATTCGTGCGATCCTTTCCGCAAGGCAAGTAAGTATCAAGGCGAGAACTCGCGATGCTCGCGTGCACGACGTGTGGACGTATTCTCTAATAATGCTACTTTATGCTATAAATAATGATTTTTATTTTCATCTCATATTTAGCATTTAAAAAATGACTGTCCAATGATAGGTCTCAATTTTCTCATTAAAGTTAAGTTTTATATATTGGAATAAATGTCAAATATATAAGCTTGTCAATCAGCTTGTAATCAAAGGGTTGCATGAAATGCTAAATATGCGGTGAGAATGTGTCGGTCAATAATATGCAGTATTTTTAATCAAGATCTATCGAGTAAAGATATTTTCAAATAAAGCTCTACTTTGATCAATTAATTTAAAATTACATTTTCGATTTGACTAACAAACACAAAATTATATTTACAGGACGAAAATAACAGTTTGTTATGAGTCGGACAAATGTTGCCCATAGTTATTCCACTCAAAGGAGATAAAAGAAATATCCTACCTGTCATCTTTGCCGGATGGTTTATCGAGGGGTCCAACCGTATGTTGTGGCGGTGGCATGCTGTAGCAGGGTGCCGGAGTATAACCCGCTGGAATCTGATAACCGGAAGTCACTGGACCACCCGGGTAAGTTCCACCGCAATTGTAACCTGCAGTAGGATAGGGAGTGTACGTGTTTCCGGGATATTCGGGTTGAACGCCGGTCATCCCGTATCCTGGATGAGGACTCATTGGTCCGTAACCTAACATATAAGAAGTTACATAAATAAAGTAATAAATAATAATTCTCCCTAAAAGTAAACAAATGACAAGTGCTAAATATCTTATTTGCCATAAAATGAATTGTCTATATCAAGTTCTTACATCACATTGTTTTATATAAAATTTCACAACTTAATATATTTTTTAACAAATTTAAAATCAATTATTTTGATAAAAAAATTTTAATTACACTTTTAATTTCTTCGATATTAAGTACATGAATCATTATAAATATTAAAATAATGTTGTAATAAAGTATTATGTCAATTCTTTAAATATATCGAAGAAAGAGATTTTGTGATCTCCTCCTATTTATTTTTTTTTTATTTCATTTTAATTTTTTTATAAGTTTACTTTGTCACATAATTTCTTAATCCTTTTATCAATTATTATTCATAACTAAAAAATTAATACTACTTATTACAAACCAAGAATATCAATTCAACTTTTATGATACAGAGAAAGCGTACGATTTTTGAGACACTTCGTCTAAATACATACATGCGTGCCATGTAATCGCGCTCGAACGGGAGCCACGGAAATAGCGCTAACACAGACGCGCTACAGGAGCAGCCCGCTGCTTGATTAACTGTTGTAAAATCTACACGTTTATTTACTAGCAAGAATTCATTTTGTCGAGAGAGCACACAGTGCAAATAGCCGACGGACGGAAGGCCGACTGTGCGCGCGCGCGCGCGCGACGTCGCGCGAACACGCACGTGTATGCGTTGAGGCCGGGGAACACGGCGCTGTGTGTGCTCGAATGTTTCAATTTCAATAACTACTCCCCAGCGTCAGAGTCCGCACAATATCGGCCGCGCCGGACTTTTGCCGCCGCTACGTGTACGCGAAATATTGATAATTAACAATGGCCGTGTACCGTCACAGGGGGTGGTTCGACGGGAAGGGGTGCGCACGGTGCACATTCAGGCCGAAGGACGGAGGACGGAGGACGGAGGGAAAAGAGGAAGAGATGAGAGGGGTAGAATGGACCGCGGGTTTGGAATGCCAAGGCACAGAGAGACCGAGGAAAATGAGAGTTCGGCCATAGGTGCCTATTATGGCAGTCATGTACTATTCTGGTGAATTTTTATTCGACGGTTGTAACCGCGTATCGTCCCTCACCCCCATCTTCGTCCCTCGCCACCTTTGCCGACCCCCGGGGGCGTCGGGCTCTTTGTTCTCTTCCGAATCCCTCATCCACGTAACCTCCTCCTCGTCGCCGCCGCTATCGCCTGACGCTTCGCGTGTATCACCTGCCGTATGTACTGGCTAAAATTTATAGTGTTAAGGACACGCTTTTCCGCCCTTCTCCGCGCATGTTTGTTTTTTCGCTTTATCTCATTTCGCCGGACACATTATCATACGACTGTTTGTATTCGTTGCTGAATTTTCGCAGTGAATTTTAACTCAACATCATACATAAAAGATAATCAAAGATGATGCGTTTGCTACGAATATTTCAACGCGTAATGCCCCTCGTGTCGAAATACTATGCAAAAAGAAGCTTTTATAAAGTTTTACGTTATTTCGAAACAGAGATCGGCGTAATGGTTTTAATCATTTCACAACAAGCGTAAAATACATTTTAGAAGAATTTTACAAATTGAGGATTTTCATCATTTTTCGATATGAATCGCATATTATTAAATGTGAACACAAAGAGAAAGCAGTCACGGGTCATAAAGCGTCTTCGGAATGCGGGTCGTGAATTGTCCGCGGATAAACGATGATAACTCACCAGTGGGATCTCGGTAGGCGTCTATGTAGTGGGAACCCCCGCTGTCGGGTGTGCTTTCGCGACTGTACGCCGTGACATGCACTCCAGGCGGCGGAAACCCGGGTACAGGCCTGATTCCCGGACCCCCGCTGAAATTGACCGGCTCGTTCGCAGTTGAGAAATCAACGGGCTCTGTCTGCTCTTCGATCGGTCGTGGCGCGGGGAAACCCGGTCCTACTGGAACCGCGACGGCTTCTCCGTGACCGGTGGAATATTGCGGACTCGGTGCACCGCTGCAGTAGAAATTAATTTGTTTTTCTTTTAGTTAGCTAGTATCTCTACAATAAAAATATTAAATATTTTATATAATTTGGAAACCTTTTATCAATATAAATTTATAATAGAGATGTTTTAAAATATTTTTTCTAAGATCTCAAAGTTTTATTCTCGTTATTTGTTATATTGATATAAAGATTGATGAAAATACCTATGAAGTCTATTGACGCTAAGATCGAGAGTCTGACCCTGAGGACTAGGAACTTGAGGACTAGCCGTCAAGTGGGGACTCGCTGCAGCTTGAGGGCTACTGCCCACCGTTTGTCCTCCTCCGTATTGTGGACTGAGGCTGTTTGAACCGTAGGGAGGCGCCTGTAAATTATATCGTTATTAATAAATGTAAAAATCCGTTGTGATAAATTTTTTTATTTCTCGCGCGTATACACTATCGACTAACCTGCGGACTAGTAGAGGTGACGCTGGAGGTAGAGAGATCCATCACCGATCCTCCGGGCGAAGTTGGCGGCCCGCCAGGTTTCTGCATCTGCTGTATCTGCGCAACCGTAACGCATTTCACTGCAACATCCACGGAGACGCAACGTTTAGTTACGGATGAATCTTGAACGCTTGCGGAGACGATTTCGAACAAATTACCATCTTCAGTCTTGATCATCCCGGCCGCAGTGGCGGCGGCCATCGCCATCTGATGCTGTTGCGCGGCCACCGCGGCTTCTTGATGATAAACTCGCTCCTGCTCCTCGGGTGTCATACCGGTTTGACCCAGGTAATACATATTCGCTCTCGAGTGAAGTTGTTGCTGCTGCTGCTGCTGCTGTTGTTGTTGCTGCTGCTGCTGCTGCTGTTGCTGTTGTTGAGACGGGATAGGCGCGCACGATTGCGTATCGTATCTCTCGTAAGTCGCGGTGGTACCGGGGTCATAGGGTCGATGATTAGCTGCGGTGACCACCGCGTTTTCGTAGCCTCTACCAGCTGCTATATCATTGGAATACGTTACAACTGGTCGCGCGATATTGCTCGCGCCGGGATGCATATACGCCCTCGCATGTTCGGCTGATCTATGATGATAGAGCTCTTCCGTGGTGGTTGCAGCAGCCGCCGCAGCCGCTGCCGCGGCCATCATGGCGCTTGACTCGTAAGGAGATCTTTGAGACATTTGATGGCTCATTCTAGTGTCCTCTACCATCGACATCGGATAGGCGACCGGCTGCATTGGTAGAACATGATGCGTCGGATGCTGGCTGGGATGATGAATCGTCGCTCCTATGGATGGTCTCGTGCCCATCGCGTCCATGGACGACATGGACGAGGAATTCGAGTCTTGACTCATGTATGAATCGTACGTCTGTCGTACTGCGGGGGGCGGCGGTGGCGGGGGTGAGTTTACTCTACAGGACGCGGCGTCCTCCGTCTTCGGGACCAGTAGCTCGCCCGTGTTTTGGTTCCTCATGGACAATGTGTTGCAACAACTGCTGCTGAGAGTCATATTCTCCGTCTTGGGTACCTTTGCGGGACGCGGCGTACTGTTATCCTCCGGCGTCTTCGGAGGCTTCACGTTAATCCCGGTGTTCTTCGTCGTCGACGAATAATAATCGTAGCTCAGGCTACTAAGTACGGGCTTCGTGTCTTGCGTTGCGGAGCCGTACTGCGAATAACTCTTCGTGTCCATTGATGGCGGTAATAGATTCGTGCTAATGTACTCTGGCGGTATTCCTGGCACTATCGCGAGAAATTGTGTACTTAGTTTTATACATTATTTGCATAAGGAAACAGATTTTGTGAATTTTTGTGTGAAAGATATAAAATAATGATAAATTAAATATAGTATTATATTTTTACTATGAAAAAGAGCATTGTAACGTTCCCGCTAATACCATAAAGCATGCAGCTATCGATTGCTGGGAAATACTTCAATAGCTTAATTCAAGCAGGATATAATAACTTAACAAAGATTTTGTAAGATATAACTTTTTGAATATGATCAAAATATAGTATCAACTTTTCATTTACATGCAATATTTGTAATATTTTATTTACATATTTGATAATTGATTTCTAATTTAATTAAATTTATATTATATATTTATATAAAACAGTAAGATTTAAAACTTTAGCAAAGAATTTTATTATTGGACGTTACTTTTAATCTTTAATCTGAATCATCTATATTATATCCAAACTTTCGAATAAAATCAAAATCTACGATAAAGCTAATTGAAAGGTATTTATTTAAATAAAAATAATAAAAGCAAATAAATTGCGTATATATTAATGTGCATAGTAATATTTTTTCCTACTAAATGTCATCGCGTCGAATAAATCCGCATGGCAATGATTATTCTCGCAATTACATCAGCGGGAACAATCAAGACACGCACAAGCGCAACGAACTGCGAAGCACGAGATACGTGCCTTACGCGCAAGATTACAGTCTCTATCCTGTCTTCGGCATTTAAGCGTTAATCTCGTCGCATGGAACGGCGTGGATTCTCGTGTACGGCGTATCCTGGACACGCACGACGAGGGTTCCTATATCCGTCTTACCTTGAGCCTTTTGTCGTGCCTCGCGTGCGGCCTGTTTATTGGCCGCGGCGATGGGACATCCGGACAGGCTTCTGTGCGTGTTCCGATTAGAGCTGACATGACCGCGGCCGTTGCAACCAGGCGTCGGGCATTTCAATATAGTCTCATGCATCGCCAGAACTGCGAGAACCCAGAGACACGCGGCGTGATTACAGATCACGTCTTGGTACGTTCACGCGTTACGTATACACAATTAGAGAGACACGGCGCACACGCACGCGGCAGATGGTGTGTGTTCGTAGAGCGAGCTGTCTCTTTATGCGTTGAGTATAATTATCTCTGTCGCGCATCACACGTTTTCCAAAAGGGGCGAGACAATTTAAAGAGATAAACATGGAATCTCTAAACGTGACGGGGTACTCTTCGTCCCTCGTTTCGCGAGTGAGCGAAATTGAAGAATTTGAATAGAGAAGAGAAAAGAGGAAGTCGTATGTAGTACACGTTGTGAAAGAGAAACACGAAACGAGAAACGCGAACGGTCAGAGAGAACGATAAGAGGCAGAGTACACGGCGTCACACACCATGTGTGAAACGCAAGTTAATGTGTAACAGTACAATCAAGTATACCGAGCGGGTAGAGAGAAAAACACAAGTAAAGACAATCAATTAATTGATAGAAAATTATAACACAACAACTTGCAATCTGTGTGAGGGAGTGTGCAACGTCGATGAGAACGCGTTTGTCCGTCGTAACGCAAGCGAGCGAACGCAAAAAAAATCAATCTTATCGATACCTTGGAGAAGATTCTACGTTTTCGATGAAGGAATATAAGATAAGCTTACCATAAATAGAAATAAAAATTATACAAATTGCACATATCTACGGTATGTTATATGCAGATGGGTCACGCCGTATTCTCTGCGCAACGACTTGATTTGTCGTTAATGTCGGGATCCGCCGTTGCGGAAACTGGTATATCGATCATCCCACCGATCGTTGCGTAATTATACTCAATCGCACAAGTGTCCTCCGTGTGAAATGTCCGGCGTGTGCGCATACACCGGCTCGTCGCGCGCCGCCCGTGTCTCGAGTTCTCCAGAGAGTTCATATAGGCCACGACCAATATAATCAAGTTCTCGAGAGTGTGGTGATAATACTCTACTATAATGAACTACGAAACAGAATGATAAATTGGAACACAAAAAGGAACGCAATAAATAAAGCTCTCTACCCCGCAAAATGAAAAGCGCAAAAAATACAACAGACAGATACACACACGCACACGCACACACGCATACGCGACGCGTGCACCGCGCTCATCGCTGGAAAATATCCATTTTCTCCTTCTAATTTGATCTCGTGTATCGAAGATACATTTTTGTTGCGTTTAATGAGGCGAGGAAGCCGCGGAGAACAATGATCTTTTATGGATGATGAGGCTAATCGGGAATGGTTTGAAGAAAAAGCAAACTAAATCAGACAGAATATTCTAATTGCCTCTCAAAAAGCGTGATCCTACAATTCTTTTCTTATAGACCATGCAGTTATAATGTTATGGCAAAAATTTAAACAATTAATTTGTAAAATATAAAACCAAAATATTAAAGACTTTTACTAGCATTATTTAAAAAATGTTTGAAAAATATGAACATATTTACTAGAGTTATATTTTAAAGCTTTTGAGCTAATTTATAAATTATTCTTTTTTATTTACACGACAATTAATAAGATCATTTAATCGAATAAAGTTTAAAATGAAATAAATCACCGATGATTCACTCTACACTTCCTCGCCTCTCGTTGTGAGAAAAAGACACTCTCGCAAAAAGAAGATGCACTATATAGCTACGATAAGAAGTAATCAATTTGAGAAGAGTACTTACTTTCTGGAGTTAACTTATCCTTTTGTGGACATCCAGAAAGGCTGAAAGTACATAGAAAAAAATTAATTAATAAGTATTTAAAATTAATAAGGTTTAAGATTTCAGCTATTCGGCACTTTTTCTAAGAATTATATGGAACATACACGTTTAAATCGTGGGCGCAAACTTGCTTAATTATTTTTATTTTTTCATTAAATATGGAATATCTGACACACAGGCATGCATATATCGTTTTGACGTTGCATATGACAACACATGGATCACAAATTGGTTTATTGATATCGGCTTCTATATAACGCCCTGCTCGATTCTCCCGTAAAACCGCGTAGGTGTGTAATCGGCCGTGGCTGAGCGCGGAGCGCAGGTTAATTACCGATAATTGCTTACCTGCGGTGGTGAGAGTAGAGTCCGGTCACGTGACCCTGCCCCGTACAGCCTGGGGTCGGGCACTTGTTGCCCTCTGTAACAAATCAAACCGCCACGTAGAGCCAGATGTTAGTCTATTAAGTGCTGGTTTAGATATTCATGAGATACGACGTACGCTAGTTTTTAGTCAAGCATAGCGGTTATAAGCTTGTGTGTGATAGCTCTACTCTGATCTAGACTTAAGCTGATTAAATTTTAATCAGAAATATATGAGCATCATTATAGAGAGATTGTCACTTTACAAAAAGGCGAGATTCGAACGATTATAGTTTTAGAATAATTTTGGATTTACAAATATATATAAGAGATATATACATATTCTACATATTCGCGAAAAATAGAGAATACAAATTTATCCGAGCACTATTAGCTATAATAAACAATTCCTGCAAACCAATCTAAAGTCAAATATAGACGCTGAATATGTGATAAGAAGATTATTTTTCCGCTTTAAGCTCACTACGTTCCAATATTAATTACATACTACAACGATACCAAGCGCACGATGTCACACTGTCTCTGCATCGTGTTATTTCTGTACCGGACCTGATGATCCCGACACAAGCGGACTGTAATTCTGAATAAATTGGATATTTACACTGTCGACGAGTGTTATTCACGGCAGAAACGTGTCGACCGGAATGCGGCGCCGGCTTAATATATTTAATGGGTTGTTATTGCATTTGGTTTCATAATCTTATACTTGCAACCAATTGACGCGAGAATATGCACGCAATTCATTTTCATCCCGAATTCATGTACGATATTTTAAGCGGAGACACATTACCGTAAAACGATGGCTTTGTGAAATCTTCATCTTTTCAACAAACTACACCCACTATATTCCTTAAATGCCTTCTCATAAGCAACAGGCATATTATATCGTAAAAAGAAATCTACATTCTCAGTAATATTAGTTTATAAAAAGATTAATTTATAATTGACAGACCATTGTCAACGTTAGACATTAATTAATTATATGTACAAAAATTCTTGTCCAAATATTATATCTTTTTAAATCGATTTTCGAAAGAATAATGTTTATTAATATTACACGATATTAAATAACATACACACACGCAAAACATGCACACGCGCGGGCGATAAATCCTAATATTATAATTTCGAAGGATATAGTGGAAAAGCATGAATTGGAAAATATATGAAAAATAATGTAGTACTTTTTCTTCCACTCTCTCTTCGGTATGCTCTTGCACGCTGTATACTGCCAGCGACGCGAGCTGTTGAATGGAAATTAACTATTGAATGGTTGACAGCCGACGTGTCCGACATCGTCGCGTAGTTTCATTCTGCATATCGAACCAGAATACAGCTTACTCCCCGTTTGCCAATATATCACGTATACCTCTTATCCTTCATAGAGAACGTTGAACAGTCAGGGCGAAGGACTCTGCGCGCCAGCGTAACGAAAAATACGCGTTTCTACTCTATTTCATATTGAAATTCTATTTATAACAACTTTATCTCTTCTTCGCGCGCGAATTTATTTAAAGAAAAATAGATTACATTAATTATTTTATAGTTTTATTAAAGTACACAGAGGTATGTACAAATAATAATAAATTTTTCGTTACTCTAGACGCAATATATTTTCCAGAAAATATATATTTAGAAGAGATATCTTGCATATAAAATTTATGCACAAGATGGGGAAACACTCATTATTGATAGACCGATAAATTTCAAAAGTTTTTAAATTTTTATATCGATTATCTTCTTATTTGACAATGGATTATAAATTAAACAAGTATATAAAGTAAAGAAAGATAAATATAGATTGTGTAAAAGTAATATTGTACGTATAAAATAAAATATAATATTGCTTATACAGGATTATTTTTTTTCTAATGTAAAAATAATTTATAATAAATATATTGTATTCTTAATCTGCTTATCTATAATAATCTATGTTAGATATTTCGGAAAGAGATTTCAAAAAATTTATACGGTTTCCTCGAGCGTACATGTTATTTAATAGCATTTTTCAGAATGAGTTTCCCCAATCCTGGCGAGAGGCCCCAAGTGAAAGTTGAAAGGACGGTCCAGAAGGGTAGAAATGGCCTCGCGTGTGGTCAGCTTGGATCTCGTCGCACGAGTTACGCATTTGTGAATAGCCTCTGGGATTTCTCTGTCCCGTGACTAAGCCTTCGGGATTAGCGCGGGGTATGTGGCCGGCCTACAACTGTCCGCGAAACAAAGAAGAGATAGATACCTCATTCTCATGTTAACAGAACGAAAGTTTTAGCGATCGGGAAAAAGTTTTGCTACATGTTCCTCTTATATCTATTCATTAACAGAAGATACCTTTTTAAATACATTATTTATCATCAATATTACACACGATCGAATAAAAGAAGAGTATTATAATATCGGCATTCTTCGTAAAAATTGATAACAAGTAGATTTGTATTTGCTATTAATTGCAAATATTTTTATAGATGTAAATGAGTTTTCGCAGACACAAATGGCACGATATATTTGGTCGTGGTTTATTTAAAGGTGTACAATCCTTGCTATATTTGAGACGTCTGCATCAGCCGATAATTTGTGTCGATAATTTCTAAATTTTTTTTCAAGACTGTTTACAGTCTACTTTGTATTCTTACAACAATGATACAAAACTACGGCCGGTGCCAGACGAGCGTGCTCAAACGACCAATTGTAACATCTGTCGTGCACTAGCTGTAATATAATGGTAGGTATAGCGCACGTCACGTATGATCGCGTTCGTATTCCCGGGGCGACCTCGCGTGACCAGACAATTACAGGTTTCTAGTACACTGCAGGTAGCCGAGAAGTACCAATCGGTTAATATGAGGCCCTTCGGCAAGGTTCTCTTTATTTCAATCGTGAACCATAAATGCGATTAAAGGTTCCTACCCAATCTTTAGAATCAGACAACGTAATCGGCTCTGAAAGCAATATTAACTAACACTATTGTAAATTCTATTCACATATAGCTATAGCTCCAAACATTCAAAAAAATATAATAATGTGCGAGAAAAAGATTTGTTTATAGGTTTACTAGGTTTAAATATAATTTTTATGAAATTCTGTAAATTATTTTACCAAATATCTCATTTTTAATAGTTATATAATATCAAAGCAAAAGATAATAATAAAATAAATGTATGATATAAATAAGATTTAGATACATATAGGTATAGCAGAAAGGAATATGTAATATCTTTGCCAAAATAATTTATCGCAATAATATTTTATTTCTAGAATGTAACTAAAATTTTCTACCGATTCATCTGTTAAAAAAATACAGATCTCGTTACTTCAGTGTCGCAAGTATGTACATCATGGTCGCGACGGAACATAGGTAAGTTTGTCACGTGTGTTGGAGGGTTCGGAAAGAGATTCCGGAGGAGCCCCTTAAGGGGTGGCCAGCTTTAGGTTAGTTGACGGGAGTTCTCCTGAAGTGAGCGCACTTTTATAAACTTTGTCGTGTACTAATCCTTCGCCCGGGCCTGATCCCCTAGCCAACTACGTTGGGGCTCTCCAATCGAGCGCCGTGACGCCGAGAAACTTCATCAGGTCGTCATTTCGCGTTTCAGAAGAGCGAGAACCGACGGAAGGGATGGAGAAAGAAAGTCGATCCCTACTTAGATGTTCGCCTTTTTTCTTAAGGCGCGGATGGCGTCGCCCTCCCTATAAATTGGATTACGATACGTGACGTCATTAGCGGCATGCTTTATTTGCGGACCACGATGCTCTCCAAGTTCCGAAGTTGAACGATAGGACACGCTGTCGGGATTGTTCGAAACCCCGCGTAATTCCACGAAGAGAAGAGAAACTAGACGGATTAATTTTGTTTCAAAATCAGAGAGTTTGCCAAAGATTAAAGTCGAAATGTGCTCACAATTTTCATTCGAGTAAAAATAAGTATTGTCACGATATACGGATGAAAAAATATGTAATGAGCGTCAGAGTAACGCGTTACGAATATTAGAAAATTTGTGATAGAGAAAATCGGCGTTATTTTTATTTTGAGGAAGGATCGCTGAAGCTTCCTGGTTTTTAATTAGCGCCGGGTAAAAAAGGTTCACCGGATAACTGAGGGCGAGCGGTTGCCCTTGTAGGATTAATAAATTAGCCGTAAGGTTTTAAAACGGCCACGTCGGTGGCTAAACTCGGGGATGAAAAGAAAGAGCGAGAGATAAAGAGAGAGAGAGAGAGAGAGAGAGAAATAGAAAGAGTGAGAGAGAGAAAATACGAGCGAAGGGGCAGATAATGGTTCCGGTCAACAAAATGAATACCGGCACGCGCTGTTCTTTCCGGATGTCTGAATAGACTTGTAACGAGTCGGTCAGACCTGCCTTCACCCTTATTTTTCTCTTATCTTCTCTCACTCTCTTTCGCCATTTTCTCCTTCTCTCTCTCTCTCTTTCTCCCTCTCTCTCTTTCTATTTATCTATTTCTATCTTTTTCCCTTAGATCTTAATCTCCTGTTCCCTCTACCTCAGTCCCTCTCTTTTGGTTTCTTTTTTCCTGCAGCATGCTGTAATGGAGCAGCGAGAGTCAGAGGGAAAAGGGAAAAGAGCGGAATCAAGGGGTGAGAACGAGGACGAGCGTCGGTCACCGAGGGTGAGCCCGTGGTCGCGTTGTAATTGTGTTATTTTGTAGCCATTTCACGTGAGGGTCCGCGGAAGGGGTAGACGTGTATATAAATACCGGGATTGTTTTATTCGGTCAGCTTGCGCGACACGCGCCGAGACTTTCGCTCGACCGCGAAAAATCATCGCCGTCGTCAAGATAATCGGGGAGAATTGAGCGCCCGCTGGTTGCTAATTATTAATTCGCCGTCAAAAGTCGTTAATCAGCGCAATTGAGTATGCATGTGTAACGGATGAATATTCGCGCGAGCCAATTAACTCCAGAGTGAAAGTGTACGTTGACAGTAATGCCTAAATTTGATGCTTTAGATTATAAATTGAATTTGTATTTGTACGTTATTTAATTCAAATCGGAATTTTTGTATCTTCCATATTTTATCTTTGTCGATGA